ACATGAAGATACTCTAGGCATTGATGAGCTGAAATGGACAGGTATTAACCATTTTGAGTCTTCTAGTCATATGGTCTATCTACTATGCCAGGAATGACAAATTGAATGGTGTTGCAGTTATCATCAAAAAGAACATTTCAAGATCTAACCTGAAGTGCAATGTTGTCAGTGATAGAATAATATCCATATGCTTACAAGGAAAACCTCTTTCAAGTGATGAAGAGTAAAGCTATCTCCTTGAAGACTAAGGTGCGCCTGGTACAAACCATGGTATTTTCAATCGCCTCGTATGCATGTAAGAGCTGGATGATGAATAAGGAAGACCAAAGAAGAGTCGATGCTTTTGAGCTGTGGTGCTGGCAAAGAATGTGGAAGTACCATGGACTGCTAAAACAACTAAGAACTCTTCCCTGGAAGAAGTATAGCCGGAATGCTCCTTGAAAGCAAGAATGGCCAGACTTCATCTCACCTACTTTGGTCATGTTGTCAGAAGGGACCATTGCCTGGAGAAGGATATCATGCTGGTAAAGTGGAGGGTCAGCGAAAAAGGGGAAGGCCTTCAACAAGATGGACTGACACAGTGGCTACAACAATGGGCTCGGGTATAGCAAGGATCGTGGGGCTGGCACAGGACCAGGCAGTGTTTCGTTCGCTGTACACAGGATCACTATGAGTCGGAGACGACTTGAGGGCACCTAACAATAACAACATGTTTAGTGCTTCTGTTCTACCTCCTAGTTCGTTGCATGGCTCCTGGTGTCTCACAAGCTTGCAAGCAGCCATCCAAGGCACAACAATTGGCCTCTATTCACCTGGAGGAACAGAGAAAGGAGAGTCAGGAATAAGAGGAGGATATGGAATGTGTGACTAGTTGCCTTCATGAACAACTGCCTTCTATTGCCATGAGACCAGAATAATTGGATGGTGCCTAGCCATTACTGAACATTTTGATCAAAGATTCTGTAGAAGAATTCTGATCAAAAGGGGGGAAATGCAGAACAGAATTTCAAAATCCCATACACACCAGGCATTCTGGAGCCAAGGGGGCTGGATGAAGCCCTGAAACTATTGCCCTGGGATAATCTTTAAAACTTAAACCAAAAATATCCCCTGAAGTCTTCTTAAAATCAAACAATAGTTTAGCTTAACTAGTAAAAAATGTCTGACTTGAGCATATGCTCTTTTAAGAACTGTCTATATGAGATCAAAGTGACTACAGCAACATGAAAGATTAGATAGGAACCTTACGAGGCAGTGACTTTGTGCTAATGAGGGAGGAACAACTCAGGAAAGGAGGGTGAAGATGGTTGCACAACTCAAAATATATAATCACTGTGGAACAAAATTCAAAATCATTAAAAAAAAAAAAAAA